CTATAGGTTAGCCAAATCCATGATCCAATTATACAAATCAAAGTCCCAATTCTTCTGTTAGGGTTAACAGACTAGGAACAACCTCAATCATTTTGAAAAACCCATAAAAATTCCTGCTTACACAAGAAAAGAAGAACAATTGAACTATTGCTGAACGTCAAATTCGCTGGTTACTAAATGATCAAACCCAAATCTGAACCCTTTCGTTCTTTATCTCTCTCTCTCTCTCTCTCTCTCTCTCTCTCTCTCTAAATAAATGTATTTGTCTTTGAAAGTTGACTCGGAGAAACTGCCGAGAAAGATTCAAACGCAGAAACGAGGAGCTGTCGAGCTAGCTACACTGCATATCCTCTACGTCTTAAATGATCATCCATGAGTATTTCCTATTTCTCTCTTTCTCTCACTGGAAAAAAGCTGTTTCATATCTCTACCATCCTATGAGCACTAGTCACTGATTTGCAGATGTAGTCCAAAGGAGAGGAGCCATTGACTAGACTCTTCAATCTTCAGCGTCTTTATTAATTACTTGTTAAAAGAAAAAAAAAACTTACTGTACTGTTCTTCTACGAAATGTACCCGTGGTTTCCCACGGTATACTTTGGTCTACGATTTTACACCGTCCATTAGTTTTTTGTATGGAGATTTTGCGCGTACATGGACGGTAGGAAATGAAATAGTTAATGGACTTTTGAATTTTTAACGGAGTGTTTGATGGGATTTGACTTTGAGCTTTGGTTCTTTTCTTGCCTTTGCCTTTGCCTTTGGTCATTGATTCTGGTTAGTGTGTGTGTGGGGCTCAACCAACGCTAATCACAAGGCTTCTCATAATTTTCATCGCTAAATAGAATTTTACTAATAACTTGGAGATATGTAAACCCAGTAAATATTTGCTGATGATTCAAACAAAAAGTTACGACTCCAAGCTATAGAAGAGAGATAGAAGGACAGAGAAGAATAGAAAAAGATTCGAGGTCGGCATCAGTTGAAAATAGTTGATGCAATTTTTAAACTTGGTTTGTGCAATTTTTATGAATTGCGATGTGCGAAAAGTAGTTGGAACACATTGATCCATGATCGCACATGTTGATGCTATTAATGAAAATTGTAATTTCTCTTGTATTCAAATAACAAAATCCGAGCCATTCATTTCATTTCATTTATCTTTTGGACTCCCCACGTGAATCACAAATGTTAATGAAGGTATAAATTAGACAAACACCAACATCCCTGAATCAAAGATCTTTCAATTCACAGACCGACATGTTTCACCTTAAGCCATCACAATTATTAAGCATTATCAGTGGACATGGTAGCTGGATCAAATTACACAAGATCTCGAGGCATGTTAATCATCAAAGTATAGGTAAATTTGATGGTGAATTAACGCCAGCTTGGCTGATCATCTAATGCATCTTGATGTTGAATCAACTGATGTCTTTTTGGAGTAAGTCAAAAGAACTTTCCGACCATGTTAAAGCAGAAGAGTGGAGGTCATATTCGGATTTAGCTTAGGAGCTCAAAATGTTTTCGTATCCAAGGATCTGAACTGGTGAAAAATCAGAACAAATTAACATGACAGAATAAACAATCAGCCATGTTCAAGTTACAAAACATCCTGCAATGAAGAGAACAGGGAAGCAAATTGCACAAGACATTAGCCCCCACTGCTCATATAGAGTCCTGCATGCATACCCGGGGAAGCACCTCATATATAATGGCCAGATGAAAGGACCCTAAAGTAATTAGTAATCGAATCTGCATCAGCTCTCCAGGTCCTAAGGTAATTCAGACACCATCTCTTTTCCCACCATTACTTCTCACTTATCAGCCAAAGATCATCAATCTCTTGATAGGATAACTGGGATTGAGTACAAGCTGAGCTTAGATCAACAAGTTCGACAAGAAGATTGCTCACATTCATTCCATTAAAATTAAAATATAACAAGCAATTTACTGCATAAAACCTGTGTAAAGCTACAAAAGAGGAAAATTTCACCAACTTGGGGTTACAAAAACTCCACCAACTAGAACAAAAAATCAAATTTACCAACTGCAATTTTATAGGAATTCAGAAGAAGATGACATTGATATGAACAAGAAAGTATCTAGAACCATGTGCCTCCTTTACAATAAGGTCAACTACACAATTTTTAAGTTTCTTTCTTATATTTATTGCTCAATAGATCCCCTTTACCTTTTCCATTTTTTGTTCGATAGCTAGTAACATAGTGTCTATTCCACATTTTTCATCTTCGCTAATCATATGATGATTCAGGTCATCATTATAAATCTCCTATTGGATGCTTTGTCTGAGTTTGAACAAAAAGAAACTACTCAAAAGTTATACCACCTCATTGTGAGTTTCTAGTCCTCTTCGCTGCAAAAAGTTGGCGAAGGAAAGAAAATTTTCCTCTTGTGCGTGCGGACAACTCACTAAGAGTCCCATTACTGGCCTCAGCGGAGTCAGATTCCGGTAAGGATGGCGGGGGTGGTGGAAGGGTGAAGAGAAATGCATTAAGCATGCGGATAATCTGGCTGAAGCTGGGCCGCATATTAGGATCCTCAACCCAGCATGACTGTATGATGAATGCAAGATCAGGGGATATATCCTCTGGAAGACTGGGCCTCTCTTGCTGCAGTATCAGGTCGAAAACCAATGCTAATTAGGAACAAGATACTGTAACATATTCTTCAAAGAAAGAGAAATTTTAAAAGGATGGCATCTACAAAGAAGTAGAAAGGACATAAATAAACGAAACAACCTAATTGGTCCCCTCTAACTAGTTTAATTTTTTCCAAATTTGCCCAGCAGCAATTTTGGGAAAGAAAAATATGGCCAATTTGCTATCCAATGAACACTATTCCATCAGGTTGGAATTAACAATGCACAGAGCTATTTGGAAGGTATCAAAACACCATTGAATGGGAACAAGATATTTTCAGGTTTGCTGCCCTCCTCTCAGGTTGCGTGTCTTGGCAGGCTCCTTTGCAAATTTACACCTGATTTCTTCTTCCTAACTACGCAAGCAAACCCTTTCCCTATAGAAGGAGAATAAGAACCTGAAGCCTGATAAAAAAATATACAAAACTATATCACAAGAACCAAAGTTTTAGGGGAATAGCCCTATTCATGGATGTCCACATCTCAAATAGAAATTAGGCTAAAAGAAAATGACTTGCACATTTTACTTCAGGTACATAAGCTTATAGTTATAGCTCTGCCTTTAGGACATCATTTAAGCCTTTCAGCCCCACCCAGTACTTTATATAGTATCTTGGCCATTTTTTACACAAAATTTCTCATAGTTCACAAAGAACCATGGAAATAAAACAGATATAGAAAAATAACTGGTTATAAGTGTAATGGAAGTAAGGGGGCTATTCCCTCACCATGGCATTGAGAACATATGTTATGCATATATGCATATGTGTTTGTCTATATAATATATAGTATATTCACAGATGAAAGTAGGGATCATTGTTTCAAGCAATGGTAAAAGCTCATGTTGTCAAGCACGAGAAGATGGAAGTATAAGTCAACCAATTCAAATTTAAGTATGTGTCATGCTCCACATGTACCTGCAAAGCCCATAAGCAATTACCCCACACAAGTCAGAGCCGAAGTCTACAACCATGTTGGCCCTTATTGTGTGTACTCACAATTCATAAACTTGACAGTCCTTTTTTCTCCTAAAGAGCTGAAATATCTTAAGCATATCTTGCATAAGTCTCTCGGAGATATACTACTATATGGATTTTCAACCTTCTTTTTATTTCAGCTTGAGGTGCACAAGATGGAATTTACCATCCACATCCAACCAAAAAGGTCTCCCAAACCAATTAGACTGTAAATGAACCATCAATCTAATGCCCATAGGGGATAAACAAAACTATCTTTTTCAAACTGGAGATCCTTTATTTGGACAAAAAGACTAAGAAAGGGCATAGCTGGTTTTCATTTTTCGCACCTTAAAAGCAGCAGCATAAGCAGCCTGCAAGTTAGACATGCCTTCAAATGGTAGCCGGTTAGTCAATAATTCCCACAAGACAATGCCAAAGCTGTAAACATCGACCTTGTTATTGTAATGCTTCTTCTCCCCCTGACGCAAAGTGACGGTGCTGTACAACTGCAAAATCAGGTAGTTGACAGGAAAAAATCAGATGATTGAATAGGAGAAGTTGCAGATTTCATAAGCAAATCAAGAGCAATTCCAATGCAAAATGGTAATAAAATAAGCATAATTTTGTTGAGAATGTTTTCTGGTTTAAGATTAAAGTAATCAAAGGAATGGAAGACAAAGAGCACATAATCATAAGTTCACTAAACTCCCACTTACCACAGTTACATCAACACTAAATCCCACAAACCAGTGAATATGTCACAATAGAAAGAGATCATTGTAACCAGATCTATTGCACGTTTACTATATAAAGTACTTGTTTTACAAGCCTCAAATCTAAAGCACTGGACAATAGAACTAAAACAGTGTCGTAGGCAAATGGGAAACCCATGCATCTGTGGAAAATATAAAACATGAAAATGTTCTCATTTTCCATGTGGCTTAACACTAGAAATGGATACATTGTCACTATCAAAATCAACATTAATTACACTGCAGAATACAAGAGCTTCCAAAATTTAGGAGTACAGAAGAGCAACCATTGAAGAACCATAACAGATTGGATGATTGACCACAATACACCAGTAATGCTTTACCTGTGCCACTTGTGATCATGTTTCTACATAATGCACGTGCTACAATAAAAACAAAAAGATATCGAGAACAGGTTGCATGTCATTCTTGCAAGTTGTAATGCTGCCTTTATTTATCTGAATATATAAGATGTAAAGTAGGAAAAGTCGATAATCATTTAAGTGTTAGAAAATAATTCAATATCACCATAAGTTTGGCCATGCAATAGCTTATATAAATTGCTTTCATCTTAGTGCATATATAGTCTAGATGCTCCAAGCTGCTCTCAACTTTTATAAGATAGAGGCCGACACTCTGCGTTCTGGTAAATTAGCTTAAAAATCACTTTTTGGGTGAACAAATTAGGATATAATTCTATAGGTGTCAGACAACAAATGAGGAAAGGAATGACTGAATGATATTTTCTCTGAATTAATGAACAAAAACCATGACAGGATTTTGAGCCACTTGGCTCACCCCCAGAAAAAAAGAACAAAAAACTCAGATGAAAATGTTTACAATACAATGAAAATATTTGAACAGCACAGCAGACAAAAGGGACAAACCTCGGGCGCCATCCACCGGTACGTCCCAGTTTCTGCAGTCATCATCTCAGTCACAGTTTCTTCCCTTGCAAGACCAAAATCAGCAAGCTTCACAGACTTTTGATTGGCTGTAAGCAACAAATTGTCTGCATTATCAAGTTTTCACACATTTTTTCATTAGTGGAAGATAAAAAGGAAGACATGCAGTACCACATAAAACACATTATGTAATCCATCAAATAATAGCCTACATAATTTGTTTTGTCCCACAATTCAAGCATTACGTTATCACCATTAATCAACTAAACACACAAGCAACAAAGCATTACGTTATCACCATTAATCAACTAAACTCACAAGCAACAAATTGGAAATATCCAGGCAGGTCCAGCATATTCAAGTTGCAACATGAACATAGGAGAAAGAACATTATGATGTTATATTGTCTGTTTATTTAAGATGTGACAGAAAATAAAACACTAACAGATAAAGGTGAAGAGTAACTCCCCAATCTAAAACACATGCATAAAAAAATATGATTTACTTTAACTTCTTGGTTCATTCTATCCGAAACTTAAATGTAATCAACAACAACAAAAAATTCTGCACAGCACAATGAGCAATTCCGCACCAGGTTTGAGATCCCTGTGTATAATCCCATTGGCATGTAGACAACCCATGGCTCGAGCAATGTCTAGGGCAAAACTCAATGCCACATGAAGATCTAATTGATTTGGGCGAATACCAACCAAATACCTTCTGAGTGACATCCCTGGTAACAGCTCTGTAACTATCACCATAAAAGGCTCTTTACAAGCTCCAATAAACTGCAAAGGCAAGCAATGTCTTTCACTCAGTGTAACAAAGTAAAAGATTTAAAAAAGGAGGGAGTGATATGCATGATGCAGCTGACAAGTATGGCAAATGCTTATGTTGAGCTGAACATTCAACCAAACCTAATGAATATAAAGCTAAGACAACCACCTTCAAAAGGTCAACCTCGCAAGGCCATAACCATATTAAAACTGCAATAGAATGGAACCTCCACTTGACCGAGGCACTCACCTTAACAAGATTCTCATGCTTTACTCTTGACATCATAGTAACTTCGCGGACAAAACGGTCTTCCAGTGCAACTCTTTCTTCCAAAGTGTTCCCATTGTTGAGAACTTTGATTGCAACTATTCGGTTGCCATACCTGGTAAAAAAATCACAATAGACTATGTAGCCAGGGAATGAATTACCAATTGAACCGCTCATAAAAACTAAGCAGAGAGGAACACCACAACAACATTGCAGATTAGTAGATCACACATAAACAAGTTTCCATTTACAAGAAATACAAGTGAAAAATATTATGTTAGAAAAACATAATTTTAGATGTTCCAATGTTTTCTGCCAAACAATTCCTTCCTCGTAACATCTGACCAATGCAACAGTACTCGACATGAGAACATTTGCACATGATATATGTTGCAGACATCATAGAATGAAATTACAAAGACAAACGTGAAAGGATAATACGCATCACTCATAGTAGACTATGGTAAGTTAGCAACTTACAAAAATAAACCTTTCAACATGAATGACCACACTACGAGTTCAATTTATGCTAACCTTCCTTCGTAAACTTTCCCATGAGCTCCTTCACCAATTTTTGATCCGATAAACAACAATTTGGGGTCAACCAGCACTCTTTCATCAATTGTCAAAGGCGGGGTGGTTGTAGTCGTAACAGTGCTGGATCCATTCGGCGAGTGCAATACCCCCTCAACCGATTTACGCACAAGCTCCCCCTCTTCTCCTCCTCTGTTCTTCTCACCGCTGCAACTCATGTTGCAACCTTAGATAATCCCCGAGTGCCTCATCCTCCAAGCTCACATACAAAACCCAAACTCTGATTCTTTAACGAACAACCATCTTCCCAAAACAATAAAGTCCAGCACTACCTCGTCAATTTAGCAAACAAAACTTCAATCCTTGCAAATACTTGGGTACCCATTTCCGTAATCACCATCCAAACCTCAAAGAGGACACTTCTTCTATCGAACTTCACTGTTTTCTCGCCAAAAATAGCTCAAAAGCACTATTTTTTGCTCCAGGAATGACAATAAATTACAAATTTTTCGATGCAAATCACTTTTTTTGTGGTCTGTCCCTCAGCGGATAACTTTAGTTTCAAACTTGTGGGAAATAAATTCAACTTTAACTTGAAGGCTCGTAAAACCGTGGGAATGAAAAAGTGAAACCCTAAGGCGAAGAAAGAGAGAGGAAAGAGATAACTTACAGCTGCAGCGACTGTTATAATATGTGCATACACATATACTGAAATCAAAAGGCAAAAGTAATTGAAAACCTAACTAACCCTGGAAGAAGCGATAGATAGACTTTGAATTTTCTCTCTTTAAAGCATTGGTTAATTTTGGGTATCACACACACACACACACACACAAACACAAACTCTCTCCCTCTCTCTCTCTGTCTATAAGACAATGGCGTTCCGATGAAGATATTCCCGAGTATATGTTCCACTCAGGGGTTTAAAGTGGAAAACCAAGAACCATACTAGGTGGTGTTTTGGGGGAGTGGTTGAGAGACCAATGGGATGGTGACGCGTGGAGGGCATACTAGTAAAGGGCTTTGGAATTTAAGAGCATCATGATTTGGACGTCGTTGGTCGAGGATAGCTTTGGGCGGGACACGAGTGAAGACAAGCTAAATTAGTCTCCGCTTGTTTTCTGCTCGGCTCGGCTCGGCTTCGGTTTTCAATTTATTATCCTCGTGGAGTATTACTTTGCACATATTTCATTTACACCCCCTTAGATTATTGTATTTTCAAAAATATTCCTATTGAAATAATCTTTAGTAAATATGCCTTTTTTTTAACGTTGTTACCAATGGTCTCTCACGGCGACTATAATTATGAAACAATGATATATAACCATAAAGTATTACAATGATGCTTTATTCTACCAAACACAATTAAAATGTTGTGGTCTTTCTATTATGATTTTCTAGAGTGTGTGATTTTCTTTAGTTTACTTCACAAGATTTGTAGCAAATCTTGAAAAAAAATTCCCCTCCAAATGAACTGATTAATATTCTAGTTAATTTTGTCATAAGTGAATAGTATTTTTTGGGTTAAATTTCATTGATATTCTCTTGAATTTGACCTAATTGTAAGGACACTTCCTATGGTTTTTTAAAATATTATTGTCACCCCCTGTCAAATTACATTGATTAACAGACTAAACGATAATTCTCGAAGGGGTGATAGTGACATTTCAAAAATTATAAGAGTGTTTTTATAATTAAGTCAATCTCGACAGAATATCAATAAAATTTACCCTATTTTTTCCGTGTTGTTTGAAACAACTAATTACAATGGCCAAAATATGGTTTATTTTGATCTACACACAAAATGACGACATGATTCAATTAGCACCTCTAATTCTTTTGTTGCAAAATACAAATTTATGAAGTCTTTTTGCCATTGCCCAATTTTCATATACCATCTACACAATTAGGATGGAAAATGTTTCATAATCCAAATAAAACTTAAAAGTTAAAACTCAAAGCATACCATCCCTTAAATAAGTGACTATCACGACAAAAGTTGATGAAACATATTCATCTAAGAAATGATATTCATTTGAGTTGTAATTTTTTATATTTCATTTGAGTTTTATAGCATTCTTTATTATAGGATGACACAAAGAAATATGCCTTCTCAAAAAAAATAAATAAAAGACACAAAGAAATACATCTAATCAGGTTGACGTCTCCCTCTTTTGATCAAACTACAACCACTCACACTATAGTGTGAGACTCATAGTAAACAAATAAACACACACACACTCCTTAAGGCTATTCGATGTGGAATAGTGCCAATGTCTCCCTCAATAATATGATAATTGAATCAAACACAATATACCGTAGAGACCGTAAAGAAAGTCGAATAATCAAGGGGGGGGAAAGAAGCAAGATGCTTTATGAAAAGAAACCCACACTTCTAAAGCAGAGACAAGTCTCTTTTTGCTGAAACCAAAGCCAACCCAGGCTTAGCCGGACAGGAATATGTGGAACACGCGCTCAGAGTGATGGCGGGAGCGGAGCCCCCTTGAGTCCAAAGTTTTAAATACCCAACTCTTACGTTTTTAGAATACTTTAATCANAAAATATTCCTATTGAAATAATCTTTAGTAAATATGCCTTTTTTTTAACGTTGTTACCAATGGTCTCTCACGGCGACTATAATTATGAAACAATGATATATAACCATAAAGTATTACAATGATGCTTTATTCTACCAAACACAATTAAAATGTTGTGGTCTTTCTATTATGATTTTCTAGAGTGTGTGATTTTCTTTAGTTTACTTCACAAGATTTGTAGCAAATCTTGAAAAAAAATTCCCCTCCAAATGAACTGATTAATATTCTAGTTAATTTTGTCATAAGTGAATAGTATTTTTTGGGTTAAATTTCATTGATATTCTCTTGAATTTGACCTAATTGTAAGGACACTTCCTATGGTTTTTTAAAATATTATTGTCACCCCCTGTCAAATTACATTGATTAACAGACTAAACGATAATTCTCGAAGGGGTGATAGTGACATTTCAAAAATTATAAGAGTGTTTTTATAATTAAGTCAATCTCGACAGAATATCAATAAAATTTACCCTATTTTTTCCGTGTTGTTTGAAACAACTAATTACAATGGCCAAAATATGGTTTATTTTGATCTACACACAAAATGACGACATGATTCAATTAGCACCTCTAATTCTTTTGTTGCAAAATACAAATTTATGAAGTCTTTTTGCCATTGCCCAATTTTCATATACCATCTACACAATTAGGATGGAAAATGTTTCATAATCCAAATAAAACTTAAAAGTTAAAACTCAAAGCATACCATCCCTTAAATAAGTGACTATCACGACAAAAGTTGATGAAACATATTCATCTAAGAAATGATATTCATTTGAGTTGTAATTTTTTATATTTCATTTGAGTTTTATAGCATTCTTTATTATAGGATGACACAAAGAAATATGCCTTCTCAAAAAAAATAAATAAAAGACACAAAGAAATACATCTAATCAGGTTGACGTCTCCCTCTTTTGATCAAACTACAACCACTCACACTATAGTGTGAGACTCATAGTAAACAAATAAACACACACACACTCCTTAAGGCTATTCGATGTGGAATAGTGCCAATGTCTCCCTCAATAATATGATAATTGAATCAAACACAATATACCGTAGAGACCGTAAAGAAAGTCGAATAATCAAGGGGGGGGAAAGAAGCAAGATGCTTTATGAAAAGAAACCCACACTTCTAAAGCAGAGACAAGTCTCTTTTTGCTGAAACCAAAGCCAACCCAGGCTTAGCCGGACAGGAATATGTGGAACACGCGCTCAGAGTGATGGCGGGAGCGGAGCCCCCTTGAGTCCAAAGTTTTAAATACCCAACTCTTACGTTTTTAGAATACTTTAATCAAAATAGATGGCTGTTGACAAATACATTTACTTTGATACTCAAAAAAAAAAAAAAATTGAAGTTGCTACAAAGTAGGATCTAGATCACACAGAGCGAAAATAGAAGCGGGAGTGAGAGCGCAAAGCTGTCAACATTCAAAAAAAATTAAGAACGGAAATACTTTTAGAGTATCATATTATATGCATACATACACACACATTCACTCATAATAATTTAATTTAAAAAATTAAATTTTCATACATAATTGTGAGATAAACTATAAAAATTTTAAATATATATTGATTATAAAGTCTTAAAATGACAATTATAATTTACAAATATTATTCTAGTTTAATATGTATTTTTAAGTCTGGGTCCGTACTTACCAAATCAAAAGTTAGTAAGAATGCGAATTAGTCGAATTCACAAATTGAAAAATTGAGTTCACGAATTTTGTAAAGTGAAAGCATGAATTCAAGAAAAATTCACTCTATGAGCACGAATTTGTGTGCGGAGTTTAGAAGAGTTATGTGATTAAGAGTAAGATTACAAATCTGACTTATATCACTAATAATGTAATAACTCATGATTCATGATTAGTATTTATCATGTGAAGCTAATCTTTATTTTATAGTAATTTATTTGATAAATGTATGTAACAAATGAAAGAACAATAGATTGTGATAGTGTCACAAATTAATTTTTACTATAGGAAATAAGAATTAATTTATGAATTTTATGATCCAAATTCAAACTAATTTTTATGGTAATATCATATTCAAGTTATTTTAATAAATTTTATATAACTAAAAAATTGACATTAACTAATAATGATATCTTGTTGAACGACTTCATTGAATAAGATTTCTAATTGTACCCCTATTTAGTATCTTTTAAGATAAAATTTTGAAATCTATCTCCATTAGAGCGAATATTCATTGTAACAGTGATATTACGGTAATATCGATGACATGATATTAGATATATATAAAAAAATAAATTTTATATAATTAATTAATGATACCATGTTATCGATGCTGACGTGACATCTCCGTTACGATGAATATTCTTTTGCCACGTTACACGGCCTTTTGATTTTTCAAAAGTTGGAAGTGTTCACTGTTCTGTGCTTATCACCTTGAAGAGCACTCCAAGCTGGAGCTTACAATATACTCGGCTTTATCGCCTCTTGGCCGTAACGAGCTTTATACGTAGCCGAGTAATTTCATGGCTGACTGGCTTGGCTTGTGTCACTTCAACTTGTTTTCGACACTTCCAAATTTGACCAACTTTACTTTCTCTTGTCTCAATTTGAGTTTTTGACCGTTAGATTGTCATGATCAAAAGAGCCACTGGGTTAAAAAACCACTTGCACATTAATGGACATTTTTACTAAATAAATTAGTCATATTTGAATGAGTGGTCGAGAAAATCACTTCTAAATCAATTGGCATTTCACTGTGTAAAAAAAGCCAACGTTGGAACAAGTCAACAGAACTTGTGGAGGCATCATGTGTTACAAAAAGTCATGCACCACATTAACTTCCAAAGAGCATTTGTAAATGATCTCTACTTTTGTTTCTTATAAAATACCACTCACTACATTCTACAAAATGCTTTTACACCTAATATGGTTATACAACAAACATTTTAGCATAGTTTTGCAAAATACCATAATCTTTTTTATTCGCAGATTGAGAAGGGAAAGGAGGGTTACAATTACTTCGTTTACCCCCATTTAATCAAAATTTTTTAAAAAAAGAAACAAATTTAATTCCTTTTTCTAGGCATCAAACTTGAGATAAATGCATATAAAGTCTAGTCGTATAACGTTAACTATGACATCTAAAAATTTAGGTACAATTACTTAGTATTGGTCGTGGTAATCAGTTCAATATTACATCTAATAAATTGAATTCTTAATTTATAAAAATAAAATGATGGTCAAAATTAATTCAATTTTCATCTATTTTAATTTTTTTTTTTATGGACAAGAAATGCTTCATTTTCATTTAACTTGGAAAT